CTGGGAGACTCGCCCCATGCAGGAGCACGGCGTCGACAACGTCATCATGTTCTTCGGCTCGGCCCGCGCCAAGCCCAGGCTCGACGTCGTCGCCCTCGTTCTTCTCTCGCGGCGAGCGCGGGGGGAAGCTTCTCCGAAGCCCTCCGGCCTTCTGAGAAGTTTTCTGTGTTTTCGGGGAAGGCTTCGAAAGCTTCTCAGAAGGCCTGGGGACTTCGAGAGGCATCGATCCTCCATCCTCGATCCCCGATCGATCCTCTATCCTCGATCCCCAATCCTCGATCCTCGATCCCCGATCCCCGATCCTCGATCCTCGATCCCCGATCCTCGATCCTCGATCCCCGATTTTCAGAATGCCGGAGGACTTCCGAACCTTCTGAGGATCTGGAGTCCCGAAACGGTGCGGTGACAGACTGTGCGGTGACCTCGGGACCCCGAGAGACCTCACCGCACGGCCCGTCACCGCGCGGCCTTGGGACCCTGGAGGCCCCGAGTCGCCCGAGCTTGGCATCGCTCGGACGTGTGCATTTTTCCTTCGGCGAGGACCATCTAGGAGCATCCTCGATCATTTGGCGAAAAAGCCACACGAAACCGAAAAAAACGCAGGGAATGGACGTCCGAGCGATGGCGAGCGAGACGACCTCGGAGAGGCACCTTGAGCCCCAGAGCCGTGCGGTGACCACGAAAGTCACCACCGACTCCCCGCACGGTGTGTGCTCACCACCCTGTCTGGGGGGCCTCCCGAGAGGAGGCCTCCTCCTCCTCGCTTTCCCCCCCGGGCGCGCCGCCGATCCCCGATCCTCGGGTAATCCTCGATCCCCGATCCCCGATCCCCGATCCCCGATCCCCGATCCCCGATCCTCGATCCTCGATCCTCGAGAGGAGGCCTCCTCCTCCTCGCTTCCTCCGCCCGGGCGCGCCAGCGATTCCCTTCTCTTCCTCGTCCGCCGCCATTCCTTCTCGTCACCGCCGCCGCCGCCGCCGCCGTCGTCGTCGCCGCCGCCGCCGCCGCCGCCGCCGCCGCCGCCGCTGTCGTCGTCGTCGTCGTCGTCGTCGTCGTCGGCGCCGAAGCGCAGGGCTCAGTACGAGCAGGCCGTGCGGGACGCGGAAGCGAAGGCCCGCGCCCCCGCGCTCGCCCCGCTTCTGCCGGCCGCGCGCAGGGGGGAGGGGGGGCCCGCTTCTGCTGGCCCCGAGCGAGCGCGGCTTTATTATTATCAGTATTGTTATTGTTACCATTATTATTATTACTACTGTTATTTCAATTATTATTATTGTTATTGTTATTGTTATTTATTGGTTTGTGTTATCAGTATCATTACTGTTCGTATCACGATTATTACTATTGTTACTGTTATTATTACTATTGGTCTTCTTCTTCTTATTATTATGATTCTTATTATTATTATTATTATTATTATTATGTTTTTTCCCCCATATCTCTGGGCCATAACACGCGTTATGCCTTCCCCCCTCTCTCTCCCCCTCCCCCCCCGCCCCCCCGTAATAACGTAACGCTCCTCCCCGCCCAGCGCGTCCTCGGCACTGCCGCAGTCAGTGCGCCCGACATCACAGCTCGGGGGGTGTGTGTGTGTGCCACGTTATGCCCCCCTCCCGTCCTCTCCCCCCCTCCCCCTCCATAACGCCCGTTCTGGCCGCGAATCTTACAAACAAATGCGCTTCTTCTGCCGGCCCCCGAGCGAGCGTCCAGCAACTACCTGGCACGCCCGTCGTCGAGGCAGCGCAGACACGGATTTGGCGACGGGTCCCGTCTCCGTCTAGACATCCCCGAGAGCGGGGGCGGCCAAGAGGGGGGTGACGATTGGGGGGTGGATGTCATGGCGGGGGCCATGATACCTCCCCAGATTCCGTGTCGCCTCTATTTCAATGCATCCCCGTCGCCCCTCTGGGCCGCGCACATGCCGCTGGCCATGATTTGCGCGACTGGTCAGCATCGGAGGTGCATCGCATACGGGGCCACCCGGGCCATCACCTCATCTTGAGGCGACAGCGCACCCGGGGTCGCAGCCTCCGGACAAAGGAGACAACGCGTGAGCAGTCAGATCCGCAACATTGGAGCCAAGCACGCGGGGGGGGGGGGGGGGGCACGCCAGGGGTCGACGCGTGAGGGGTCAAATCCCAGCAGGACGGGCCAGAGATGAAGAGAGGACTCGGATCCAGAGAGTGGCCCGCGCTGGGGCGAGAGAACGCCACGCGGAGCGGCAGGAGCGCAGCCCCGATCCGAGGACGAGGCCCGCGCTGCAGCACGGGCACCATGACGAAAGTTACTCTGATTGTAAAACGCGTCGGAAGCATCAATTTTTAAACGTGCAAGTGCAGTGCGATCGGGGGCGGAAAAGAGGGGGGTGATGACAGGGGGGGGGTGGATATCATGGCGTGGGCCATGATATTTCCCCAGATTTCATGGCGCCTCGTTTTATTTCATTACGTTCCTGGCCCCCCCGCTGGGCCGCGCACATGCCGCCGGTTATGACTTGCACCCCCCCCCCTCTTGGACACCCCCCTCTTGGCCGCTCCCGATACGCGGAGAGGGCCGGACATCGTCCGCACAGAGTCAGGGGAGAGGGGAGAGCAGCACCCACAATGTGCGATTGTGCAGTGGGACGAAGGGGAAACGGGATGGGGAAGGGGAGGCTGAGTGCAGGGAGCTCTGGAGGAAGACCAGGTACAAGGCGACGCGGAAGAGGCGGAGGAGGAGGAGGAGGAGGAGGAGGAGGAGGAGGAGGAGGGGGAGGAGGAGGAGGAGGAGGAGGAGGAGAAGGGGGAACAGCAGCAGGAGCAGGAGCAGGGCGATGAGGCCTGGGAGGAGCAAGGTCCCTGGCAAGAGGACGAGGAGGCCGAGCACAGACGAGAGCAGCGCCTCCGCGCGCGGTCAGGCGGCCGCGGACCCGAGCGACACGAGGGCGCAGGGAGCCCTCGCGAGGCTCCAGAAGCAGGCCTTCCTGATCCCCATGTTCGACGTCGTGCAGGACCGTGCCTGGGGGTCCTTCTCCTCTTCCTCCTCCTCCTCCTCCTCCTCCTCCGCCCCTCCTCCTCCTCCTCCTCCTCCTCCTCCTCCTCCTCCTCCTCCTCCTCCCCCTCCTCCTCGTCTGACGAGCGAGCGAGCAGAGACGGGAGAGCCGAACAGACGAGAGGGCAGCCGCGGGAGGAGGGCCGGCGGGGGCCGAGGGCCAGCAGGGAGCCGCCGGGAAGCCGCCGCCCAGGCTCGCGCTGGGCTCGGCCCGCTCCCCGCCTCTCGGGCCTGGGAGCGCGAGGGTTGGCGTCCCTCGCACAGAGCGCTGCCGCCCTCACAAAGGCCCCCTTGGCTGCGGCACCTCGCCGGCTCGAGGGTGCCCCCCCCCCCTCTCGGAAGCTACACGAATGTGTGACCTTTCGCCGGAGTGACCTAGGGTCCAGGCCCAGTGGGCCCCCCGATCGCCGAACGCGATGCGGTGGTGGCGTCTTGCGCGCTTGTGTTTGGTCCCCCCCTGAGGCCCCCAGAAAACCGCGCACCAGAGGTCACTCCTACCCAGGGCCTCTCTTGAGTGTCGTCGATCTCGGAGGCTGGGCGAAGGCCGGCAAATCCGTGGCTGCTAAAACGGCCTTCCCAGAAGAGAAAAAAACAACTTCCTGGAATCAAGTATTCCGCGCGCCGAGCAGTATCAAGGGGCCGCTCCCCAGCAGGAAAAGACACAATCTCCCGGAGCTCCGTTTCAGCAGCCACGGGTCTGTCGGCCTTCGCCCCGCTTCTGGCCCTCCCCGGGCCTGCTCCCGGGGCCCACTTCGATCCGGCCAGTCCGGCACACATAACCGCGTGCGGGCGATAATAAAACCTACCCCCCCCTTCCCCCCCTCTATTTTTATTATCCCCTCCCCGTTCAACAGGATTTAATTGTGGAGAGGGGCGCGGAGCCACTTGGGGCCTCCTGGAAGCTTCCGGGGAGCCTTTTCGGGGCGTTCGCGGGGCCTCTTCGGGGCCTCCAGGGGCGTTTTGGGGGGCCGCGCAGGGGGCCGCCCTGGCCCTCCTCCTCAGCTCGCCTTCACTCCCCCCCTTCCCATGCGCCGCCGCCGCCGCCGCCTACGCCGCCGCCTACGCCGCCGCCTACGCCGCTGCCGCTGCCGCCGCCGTCGTCGCCGCCGCCGCCGCCGCGGTCGTCGTCGTCGTCGTCGCCGTCGATGTTTTCGTCGTCGTCGTCGTCGTCGTCGTCGTCGTCGTCGTCGTCGTCGTCGTCGTAGTCGTCGTCGTCGTCGTCGTCGTCGTCGTCGTCGTCGTCGTCGTCGTCGTCGCCGTCGCCCTCCAGGAGCTGGCGAAGATGACGACGGAGTGGTCCATGAGGCGGGCCGCCCAGGGCAAGGTGGCGTACAGCGTGGGCACCGGCGGCGGCCCTGGCATGATGGAGGCCGCCAACAAGGCCGGCCAGCGGAGGAGGAGGAGGACGCAGGTCGGGTGTTGCCAGGAGTGCCCCTGGCCCGAGGTGCCCCCAGGATTCTCGGTGTGGCCCAGACGGCCTCCAGAGCACCCCTCGCGAGGCCCAGAGGGCCCCAAGGGGCTCCAGAGTGCTACGAAAAGCTGGGGGCGCCTTGGGCCAGGGGCACTTCTGGCAACACCCGAGCAGGGAGGACCCAGATGGGCGAATGGCGGAGGCGGGGAAGTGAGAAGGAAAAGGCCTTCTCAGAAGGCGGCGGGACTTCTCAGAAGCCCTCGCGCCTTCTGAGAGGCTTCTGTGGGCGCCTCCGGGGAGGGCTCGGAACACTTCTCAGAACCCTTGGGGGGTTCCCGAGCCTTCTGATGAGGCCCGCCCCTTCGCACTCCCCCCCCTCGCTCGCCGCCGACCTGAGATCTGGACCTTGCGCATGTTTTCCACACTGGGCGTTCTCGCCAGGCTTCGGGCCTCGAGGCCCTCACATAACTATCGATTTCTAGCCCCCCCCCTGTTTGCGTAAACAGGGGGGGTCTGAGATTCGGGTGCCGGGTTTACTCTTCTTGTCTATGCTGAGTGAGATCT